TAGCTCGAGGCCCCTACATTAATGATATCTTCAGCAATTACCAGTAAGTTGGGGTCCCCACACACTGCGCGATGGATCAAAGGCTCTCTTGGCGTGAATTGCCACGGATTCAATTTGGCAACTACGCCATATAAGAAGAGTAGGTCCCGAAAACACATCTGGAGAGTCGTTAAAATCCTCCATTCCAGTGCCAGATCTACAGTGTCTAGCATATAAAAGCAGAAGTGATGAGTAGCCGATACGCAGCAGTGCACCAATCACCCAAGGGTGCAGGCGACGCGCGCCCAACTGCCCTTAAAATCATTCAGGATGAACATCTTGAAGGCCAATGGTCTGAAAAAGTCATCCTCATCACCGGCTGCTCGTCAGGTCTGGGTGTGCATACTGCGCGAGCACTACATGCTACCGGTGCTACACTTTACCTTACGGCCCGTGACCTCAACAGAGCGCAAACAGCGCTTAGTGATATGATTGACAGCCCACGCGTGCACCTCTTGTCTCTGGATCTCAATTCTCTGGCTTCAGTGCGTGCCTGCGCGGAGGAATTCAAAGCAAGGTCTCCCCGCCTTAACATTCTCATCGCCAACGCTGGAGTCATGGGCTGCCCGGAAGGACGGACGGAAGATGGTTTCGAGACGCAATTTGGGACCAACCACCTGGCGCATTTTCTCCTTTGCCATCTCCTACGTCCTGTGATGTTAGCATCTTCCTCACCTGCATTTCACTCACGGGTGGTGCTACTATCCTCCGGCTCGCATCGCTTTGGCCAAGTCAACTTTGACAATCTGACCTGGGAGGGCGAGTTCGACACCTGGATGGCCTATGCACAAAGCAAAACAGCCAACATCTGGACCGCTAATGAGATTGAGCGGCGGTATGGAGCTCATGGTCTGCACGCGGTCAGTTTGCATCCTGGGACCATTGCCACAGACCTGCTGCGTCATGTGCCGGCTGACCAAATGGCCATCTGGACTGCGGATAAGGAGTTGGAAAAATATTGGAAGAGCCCTGAGCAAGGAGCTGCCACTACAGTCTGGGCAGCAGTGAGCCCAGAGATGGAAGGGAAGGGTGGAGTGTACTTGGAGAATTGTGCTGTGGCCAATGCATGGGTTCCTGCCGCTGGTCCTTGGGGACCGGGATATGCCCAATGGACGTATAGTCCGGAGAGCGAAGCAAGGCTTTGGGATGTATCATTAAACTTATTGAAGTTGCAGGAGTAGCAATTGATTGCGCCAGTGAAACTCGTGTTCCATGTTTTCATAATTCACCGGGATCCTATTTCAAAGCAGAGGCAGCTTAATGGATACAAGTAGGAGACATTCACCCTAGCATTGCCTGAACTTTAGAGGTTTATTGTGGGCCATATATTCAACTTGAGATTGTGAATGTTTTACACGGCCTTCTCTCATATCTTCAGCCAAGTCCATCTCATTACTGCTGGTTAAACTCCGCAATGACACTGCGCGGTGCCTGATACGGACCGAGACTCGTCCATTCCATATCCAATCCAAAGCCCTGGGGTCCTCCGACACGCAGTCCTCGCTCATCTCCAGTCCACAGAGGATGCGCCGCCATGCCGATGACATTCACGCGCAGGCCATACCGCAGCTCCTGCGACCCGATTGCCTCGCCATCTTGGCCTAGAACCGAGATGAGGTCGGGTACTGTGCAGATAACCTGCTGGGCTGTGGGATTTGCGGGGTCGATGAACGCAGCATACAGAAATTCGTTTTGAAATGGAATCACCAACTGACGTGTCTCTGCCGAAACTTGGTTGTCCATATTTTCTCTCTCCTCACCGGATAACGGGGCAATTGTGCACTGGCCAACTGTGTACCCGCGACTGACATCTCGCTTCACGTCGATGATCTTGCCACTGTACAGCAGTTTGCCGGGTGTGGTTTCAAACTATGAGCATGTTAGTTGAGTATGTATTAGAATAAGGGCAGTACCTACAATGGCTTTGATGATGTCCGTCTTGGACCGGCGGGCGCGATGGATAGCGCGACCCAGATACCAGGCTTGAGACACTGTGTTCGGGATGCAGTATTTCTTGACAATGTCAAAGGTCAAGGGTACAGCAGCCACAGCAGTCGAGATACCAAGATTCACACACTGGCATCGAAGCAGTTCCTCCACTCGACGGTTGGATTCGGCTTTCTACAGATAATCAGCGGAGAAATGTGAGCTCTTTACAGGGGAGGGTCATACCAACACCACTCCAACATTACCTTTCGCGTCCGCAACCACACACGGGGTGATGGGGTGTCCATAAACATATGGCGTCCCTAGAGCACATACTCGGCATTTAGTCCAGCAGGTCATAGGGGTAATGGCTTCTTACCGTGCTCCATGGTGGGATAGGCGCGGCCCATGAGATCACCATCGAGAACCGGAATATCGTAGTAGGCGCTGGTGGGAAAGGTAGACATGCCATTTCCTCCGCCAATCTCGTCGGCAATGATTCCTTCAAAGTGTGTATGTCCAGAGAGACGGACGACATGGTCGATGGCAGTTGTGAGTTCTATCTTGGCCGGGATTCGCTCCCCCGACACACTGGGGGCGCCGTACCACGATCCAAACACGCAGACACCCGAATCGTTCATGCTATCTGGAGATACCACCCTCATACGTCCCTTTGCGTCGGGGCTTTTCAGCCAGTCAAGACATTGCAAATACTGCAGATAAGACGGGCCCCCACCGCCAGTGCCCAACACACCGGTTCCGGTCGCGATGAACTCCAAGTCGACGGCGGAAAGGTACCAGACTTGGTCCGTCACCTCCGGCACATATGTGTCAAGATTGATGGAGGCACTGGGTTTGGTGCTAATCAGGGAGGGGGAAATGCCGTTCGCCGCCGTCTCTACTTTTGATGCTTCCTTGAAGGACGAATCATCGACATCAGTTGACATCCAAGATACCAAATGCTCCTCTGCAGAATCTCCCCGAGCGGGAGTTGCAAGCTTTCCAACAGCCTTGACAACAAGCCGGACCGCTTTGTTTGTGACATATTGCAGTGGTATTTTGTCGACCTCCACAACGCTCACATCGTCCTTGTCAGCCCCGCGTTCGATGGCGGCCTGCATCGCTTGCTGCTTTGCTGCTTCCACTACGGCTCCCTCATCGCGACCCTCCAGGATCTCAATAACATCCACCTCACCAGATACTTTGGCGATGGCAGCCCCAACCGCGTTGGCAGAGTCATGGTGCGGAGGAACAATGCACTCGGCGACGCCCTCAAGTGCGTCCATGTACACGATGGAGCCACCTCCGACTAGTAAGAGGGTCACGGGCTGGTCAGAAACTTTCATCGCGTCGATAGCGCGCTCGAGGATTTTCTTTATGCCTGCGCGAGCTTTTGTAAAAACAGTGATCGGGAGGTGCTTCACCCGAGACCTCTCCCCAAGCTCAGCCTTGCCAGACGCGACAACGATATCCGTTGAGGTCATGGTATTGCCGCCAAAGACTAGGGCGTCCTGTGTCAAATGGTATCCAACCGAGTCGGGTCCAACACTCACGGTGCCTTCGGCGCCATCAATGTGGATGCGACTCCCTCCGCCCAGTCCCACTGAGAGCACCTCTGGGATAGGAAAGGCCGTACGTACTCCGCCGACTTCAACAAAGTTGGGCGCCTTGCGGGGGAATCCAGATGGCAAGAGAGCACAGACATCGGTGGTCGTTCCTCCCACATCCATAACCAAGACTTGAGTTGCAGTCCTGCTTGTGATGCTGCTACTGTTGCTACGTTGGTCCAGAGCGGCCAGATAGGCTGCCCCCGTCAGACTGTTCGTCGGACCACTGGCAAAGGTCTGGATAGGTCGCTCTGCTGCCATGGCAGCGCTCGTCAGGGTACCATCGTTTTGAGTAAGATACAACGGGCATTTGAGCTGTAAGTCCTTCATGGCGAGACAGAAAGCTTGGATGGTCTTCTTCGCCAAAGCCAGGATGGAGGCGTTGAGTATCGTCGCATTCTCACGTTCCAGCAGCCCAACACTGCCAATATCGGCAGAACACACCACGGATAAGTCAGGGCTTTGCTGTAACATCAATTTCTTGCAAGCTACCTCATTCGTGCCCCCGTGGTCAAGGGGCGAGAACACCCCAACGAGAGCGACGGTGGTGATTCCGGCCTTCTCGATCCCAGACACGGCATCCTCAATTTGTCGAGGGCAGATGGGCGCGATTTCCCGACCATCAATTTCGAGACCTTAGACGTATTTATTAGCATCGCCAATGACACTGGGATTTGTTTGAGGTACCTCCGTCGAGATAGAAAACCGGTCCTCCGATAATTTCACGGAGTCGTGGTGGAAAGTCGGAGAATGGCGGTACCTAAGCTACCATCAGCGACAGATTGTCCATGAAGAGACCAGGGCTGTTTAAGGGTCGAAATACCGCTCTAGTGTAAGGACCACACAGACGAACGACAGCGACCCTACTCAGTCGACGGGGGTCGGCCTCCACAACAGCATTGACGAAGTGAGTTGTGCCGATGGCTACACTGCGCACCTCGTGGGCGGGAATCTGCGTTTTGGAGAGGACATCGACGATGGCGGTACAGATACCAGAAGTGACATCGGCAGTGGTGGGAGTTTTGCTGGAAGCGCACACACCCCTCTGTCGATCTTGATGCAAGTCCTGTTCATGGAGGGTTGCGGCGGCCGCGTTGAGGATAGCAGCATCGGTATTGGTGCCACCCACATCCACACCGATTCGATAGAATGCCATCTTGACGGACCACTGATAGTTGATAAGGGAACCAGATAGGCTTCAAGGGCGGGACTGACCCGTCATTTGTACCTGTGGCACATGTGCCCTCATTCTCTGCAGTCGCAATCAGGCTAGAGTCCGACCCCGCTTCCTCTGATGTCGCTCATCCTTGGCTGGCGCCGGCCGAGATAAACCCTTATCACCCAAACCGGCGGGTATATCTGTCTGGATCCAGGATGTAGTTAGGCTTCATGTGTTCATCGCGTGGCGTTCAACTCAGCCAGCTCGCCATGACGCTCCTGCAGTGGCTCGAGGTCCCCCAAGAAGGAGAGACCATTCCCGACCGATGGATCAATAGTGATATCGAACCCATTCAGGCGGATCGCCGCCGCTGGGGGTTTTGGACCTTCAACAATTATTGTCAGGGGACACTCCTCCATGTTTCCTTGTGCAGGACTCGCTAACAGGAGTATTCTGCGCAGGGGTCCTCATCAGCTCCAACATCTCTGGATATATGACCGGCAGCTCGTTGATCGCCTTGGGACTGTCTTGGTGGCAAGCTATCGTCGCCATCGTGGTCGGGAATATCCTGGCGACCATTTTCATCGTTCTCAACTCGCTGCCCGGGGCCTATTATCATAGTAAGCGTTTGGCGGGGCTGACCCGCTCTGCATGTGTCGTCGGGTCTTAACTGACATCATGTTCAGTTGGATTTCCTGTTGTGAATCGGTATGTCTGGGGCATGTATGGCAGCCAGTTTGTCATCTGGAACCGTATATTTCTCTCCCTCAGTAAGTCCCACCGGTGAAAGTCAGTAATGCTCCCACTGATAGGTCTAGTTTGGTGTAAGTCATTTAGTTCACCCGTCGCAGCAGATATTAACCGCCAACCTCACGACAGATGCCTTTCAAGCATGGATCGGAGGCGAGTGTGTGTATGTTTGCCTGCAAGCCATTTGGCCCTCGCTGGAGAAGCGCATCCCCAACCACATGCCCGCCGACACCGGCATGACGACCGCCGAGTTCGTAGGATACATCATCTTCATGGTTCTTTCTCTGCCGGTAATCTATGTGCGACCGCATAAATTGCAGAAAATGTTCTACATCTCGGCTGTCATTGTTATTGTTTTCGAATTCGTACTGCTAATCTGGTCATTGGCGACCATGGGTCCCAACGGCTTCGGTGAAACGCTGTCTTCCGGATCGAATGTCTCTGGGTGGATGATCGCGTATGGAATCATCAGCACGATAGGCAGCATCTGCGCCGGTATTTTGAACCAGAACGACTACGCGCGGTTCGCACGACGACCTCAAGATGCCATTTATGGCCAGCTCTTCAGCGCGGCACTGTACGCCATCATAATCGGCGTGATTGGCATTCTCGTCACAGCGGCCACGCAGGAACGCTATGGAGAAGCCTACTGGAACCTTCCCAAGCTGCTGGGCGCCGTCATTGAGACTGGGGGGTCCCGGTCGCGCGCAGCAGGCTTCTTCGGAGGCATCGCGTTGATTATCTCGCAAATGGGGGTCAATGTCCCGGGCAACGCTTTGTCGGGAGGTAGGAAGACTTTTTGCACACGGCCCTTGTTGGAATCCGTAATTGACGAAGCTAGGGTTCGATCTGGCGGCGACCTTCCCCAGGTACATTAACATCCGTCGGGGCGCGTACCTGACGGCATTGGTCTCCATTGCAGCCAATCCATGGAGATTGGTCAATACGGCCACGGTGTTTATCACGGTCCTTAGCAGCTACTCGGTGTTCATGGCGCCGATGATCGGGCTGATGATCGCGTCGTACCTGTGCGTCCACCAGCGAAAGATCAAAGTCCCGGACCTGTTTGTGGGAGATGCACGGAGCATCTACTGGTATACATACGGGGTAAATTGGCGCGCCATTGTCGCGGTAAGTCCTTCTTCCGCTTCCAAAGGCCCTTCTTTTCCCGTTTGGTGGACTGACACGGGGGCCAGTGGATCTGTGGGACAGTCCCCTCGCTTCCCGGTTTCATTGCCTACGTCAATCCAACCATCCATGTTCCGGCCGGGCTGATGCATCTGTACTACATCTGCTTCCTCAGCGGCGCGTTGATCGCTGGCGCCGTGTTTGCGGCGCTGCATTTTGTTTTTCCCGACCGACGGGTGCGATCGTTTCTCGCATCGGCCCCTACATCTCGAATTCTGATCGAGGAATACCGGGACCAGCAGATTACGGTCGAAGCAGTGATTCATGTGAGGTCACCGAAGCTCTCGGATGATGAGGGAGAAACTGCCATCAATGAGCGAGTTTGATTTCCGCGACGTGGACGGGCAGCAAGCTGTTATTGACGCGTTCCAGTTAAGGCAATGAATGGATGAGCCCAGTTTTTCATATGATTGAATTGCAGCCTAATGGACCAAACTTCGCTACCAGATGCATCTATAATAAACACCATTGGAAGGTCCGTCAAAGGTGCTCTCCCTTTTCTTGCCCGAGTGACATGGATATATATCTATGTATGAGGTGACTACTAGCTGGTACTGCGCGGTGACTTGTAGCCATGCCGGCATTGTAAGATCAGGCCAGTAAGTGGAACTGAAGTATCAAACTGGCTGCCACGAATGTATTTTCTCTTATTGAGCACTTTAGCTATATGGTGCCATAGCATTGATTCCCTTGATGTGGTGGAAGCGACTTGCCGGTGACAAACCCAGTCCGATCGCCGACTGTCTCCACAGCGGCTGGAAATATCTTCACCCCGATGCGGCAATGGTCCAACCACCCCCCTGAGATGCAGGACATGCAGGGTCTGGTCCAGACCCAAGTTGTGGGTTGCAGATAATAATATTCCATACCAACAACAGCTGCTAAATAGTCTAGCTATCGCGATAAAATTACATTGTGCGCCAGTCAACCAATCCGAAACCGTAGCTGGACCGGAAATCCTTACCGGGCTAGGTTTAACACCGAGGATGACGCGTTCGGAAATCGATCGACAGGCGAAAATTGAAGCCGTCGAAAACCTCTTCAGGACCGTGGGGGAACGCCCTGAACCTCTTTGAACCTGTTCTCGAGATCTCCTTTCTGAATGCCATAGATCCAAGTCAGTCAAAATGAAGGAGGATGGTATTCAGACCAGCAGTGAGGGTAAACAGCCCGAGCATTCCCCGCCGGGGGTCGTGCTGGTGCCTCGACCCAGTTCCCATCCCCAGGACCCGCTCGTAAGCATCTGGCCCCAAGAACACCTTTGGCCCCGGAATGTCTGCTGATAGCTTGAAGAATTGGCCATATCGTCGGAAACAACTTATTCTGGCCACTCTCTGCCTGGCCTCCTTTTCGGGGGCTATCGCTCCCCTTTCTGGCCAGCTAAACCTGGCCCAACAGGCCAAGATCTATGGCAAAACAAGGGTCCAAGAGTCCTATGCTGTATGCCGACCAACTTCTGTCCTCATTCTGCTCCAATGTATGTCCTGACAAGCTGTATAGAACTCCGCCGCATTGGCGGGCATGGCCTTCGGGCCCTTCTTCTTTGCCCCTGTCGCCCATCGACTGGGTCGCAGCTCCGTTATCTTCTGGTGCATTCTGTGTGCCCTCGTCTGTCAGATCTGGGCGGCCGTCATGACCCGTTCGGATGATTATATCCCCTACATCATTTCGCGACTATTTGCCGGCTTTTTCGGCGCCGTTCCCACCGTCCTTGGCCCGCGTGTCATCACCGACCTGCTGTTTCTGCATCAGCGCGGTCGTGCTTTCATGGCCCTGCATATGGCCTTCTTGTTTGGCACCATCGCTGGCCCGACCTTTTCGGCCTTCATCTCGGCCAATGCCTTCTTCCCCGTCGAGTTCTGGTGGACTGTCGGCCTGTTGGGTGCCACAGCCATCCTCATCTTCCTCTTCCTCGAGGAGACGGGATATGACCGTGAGAACCCTGATCAGAATCCTGCCATCCCGACCAACTGGTTGGCCAACCGCTGGGCTACCTTCTTTTTCGGCCAGCGTTTGGTGCAACCCACCACCTGGTCGGTTACCGTGAGTGACCACCCTCAAAAGAATTAGTTATAGGCTCTCTAATGATGTTCCATTGATCTAGATGAAAATCGCCGTGGCGCCCATTCTGATCGGTATCTGTCCGGTCACAGTCATCATGGGTACCTTCACTCTGATCTCCTTCGGGTTCTACGTCGGCATGAACGCCCTGGTGCCTGTGTGGCTGCAGCGGACGCCAGAGGAAGGTGGTTACGGCTTCTCCTTGAAGCAGAACGCCGCTTTCACCTTCTGCCACTGGATCGGCATCCTTGTCGTCCAGATTGTGGGCCACTACTACAACGACCGACTACCCCTGGCGTTGGCCCGACGCTTCAACCACGGCGCCTGGAAGCCTGAGTACCGCCTGCAGGTACTCTGGATTCCCAGTCTCATCCTCAATCCCATCGGACTAGGCCTGTTCGGCGCCACTCTGCAGTATCACCTGCATTACATGGTGCTGGCACTGGCGGTGTTCATCGTGACGATCGGCTCGCTGGCCAGTGTGCCAGTGACAGTGAACTACGTCGTGGAATGCTTCACGCGCTACCCGGCTGAAGCGGGTATTGTGATCGGTGCCTACCGTATCGTCTACGGTCTGACCATCAGCTTCTACATTGACCCGTGGGTGGCTGCCGTTGACGTCGGCTGGGTGTATGGCATGATGGCTTTCTTTGCGATCTTCTCATTCTTGTTTGTCATGCTGCTGATGTGGAAGGGACATGCCATCCGCGAATGGCAGCTGGCTAGCGTGGCCAGCAGTGAGGAAGGCGTGCAGGTCGAGGATGGGATCAGTGAGAAGGGGACGGTGGAACACGATGGAGAGAAGTTGAAGGTTTGATACCCCTAGAAGTTGCTACCGGCACATCGCGTGCTGGAGTGTAATGTGTGTACTTAATTTACCCATCTATAATTCCGGGCATATTTTAAATCATCTATATCATAGTCTAATCGTCTAGTCATCTCAGACACCTAACTGGGATACTTTTAGTACACTTTAAATAGGAAGCAACACGCTCACGCACGCAGCACCGTTCCATTCTCCTTCCTCACAAAGTCCAAGAACACGTCCAGTTCCGGACTCGAGGCTCCATCCACCACAAACACCGCGGGCTTTCCAAAGGGCGCCGACACCTGCGCCGTCTGTCCTCCCCGGTAGGTCTGGCCACTCCACACATGGGTATACGTGCGGTTTGCAGAGTGACCGGGGAAGTACACCTCCACAGACTTGCGCCCCTCATCGAGCACCGGTGCCACGTATAGATCCCGTCCGAGGAAGAAGCTCTCGTAGCTGATCTGTCGGGCGCGGAGATCCTCCGGGTGGTACAGCACCGGCATACGCAGCAACGGCCATCCGCGACGCTGGCTCTCCGTGTTGAGGATGCGGCGACGGTATGGACCCAGACTGCGGAACATCCGGGCGTTGTAGGCGAAGTACGCATACGTGGTGGAGTTGCTGTAGAACTGAGCATTTACGCTAGGCACGTTGCCCTCGTGCGACCGGAACACGGCGCTTGAGACGGCACCCAATTCACCCCAGCGGCCCAGGAGCTCAGCCGATCGTGGGATGGCTCCGGAGGAGTTACTGGTGGTGGGAGGCTCGAAGACGGTCGTGTAGCCGCCAATGTCACTGTGACTGTGGGCATAGCCGGAGATACCCATCTGGCCTTGAATAGTCACCACTGACTTGATGCCGTCGTTGGGGGTCCAGAGAGTGGCTTGGTCTCCAACCCAGAACAGGTTCATGTGCCGGTTGGCGCCCATGGAGGCAGAGCGGTGGAAGGTGACCATCTCATGGAACAGAGGCATCTCAGCGGCCACGGAGCGCTGATAGGCTGCCCAGTCGCGTGGATATTGGTTGTGGTAGAAGAAGGCGCTGGTGGAAATGTTGGCCAGCGAGGTATCCGCAGTGATGGGGGTGTACTCGCCAAAGTCCCACATGCAGCCAGAAATGTTGGCACTCCAGACCTGCGTGCGGAGGACGTCGGCGAACCACGCGCGAGTTTCCTCGTTGGTGAGGTCCAGGATACCGGCGTCGATGCCCTTGCCGCTGGAGATGATCGCCGTGGAGTTTGTGGTAGTGTTCTGTACCATGTAGCGGTGCTTGCTAGCCTCCTGGAAGAGATTGCGGCGATAGCCATCCGACTTGCTGCTGACGTCGGCCAGGAAAGGGTTCACGTAGGCAAGGGTGCGTACACCGTGCTGTTCGCGTAGAGCCTGGACGAACTCGGCCCATGTGGGATACAGCGAAGTGTCGGACTCCCAGTTCCACCACAAACGCGAGATGTTCATGTTGCCATAGGGGGCTGACTGCAGATGCGTGCCTGACCTACGGTCCGTTAGTAATGATGAGCGCAGAAAAGCCAGGGGGCCACTCACCAATCTTGCAACCAGACACCGGCGACTGGGCAATCGTGTTCAAAGCCCTGCTTCACAATGCGATTGACTTTCTCCTGTCCACCCTGAATGCCCAAAAGTGCGCCGTGATCAACCCATTCCGGAAGAGCCGGCATGCGACCGGTGTACTCAGTGAGCATGGTGATGGCGTCCAGCATGTTGTCAGCCTGCATTAGATGGCCATGCACTGTGATACTATCGTAGCGCACCGTGACAGCATCCGGGCGTTGGAAGTCAAAGACAGCATAGGCTGTATCATTCTCGTCGAGGTAGAAGACGCGACCGTCAGAGCTGACGTACTGAGGAATGGCCGTGTAAGTGGTGTACTGGTCGCCGCCGCTGAAGAAACCTTGCGAGTCCTCGATGGCCGTGTATGGCTGGTCACCACGTCCGACACCCTGCTCGCGGGAGAAGATGGGGATCGACCGATTCTTCATGGAAGCGAAGGACGCCTGCGCACCGAGACCGTAAAAGTCCTCCCGCGCGTGCGATGCGAATGTGAGATAGAGACGTTCGACGGGGACACTGGCATTCGCATCCGAGTCAACAGTGGCTTCAAAGGCTACACGATCCGAAAGGGTCTTAGGAACCCAAAAGTTCATGGCATAGGCAATGTCCTCCCCACCACAGTCCAGGAGATAACCGCGCACAGCGACCTGGTTCTTCACACTGTCGCGACGAGGGATACCCGCCAGTTGGGTGATATTCTGGCCTTGGCATCGGGCCTGGGCCACGTTGGTGATGTTGAAGTTGCCGCTATCCTCAACAATCTGGTCCTTCCCGGCGCCGGCACTGAGGAAGGGCTGACCGGGGAGGGTTGAGAAGATGGTTTGGTTGTCTTGATGGATGGAGATCTGATGTTGGCTTGCCTGGTAGGACAGCTCCAGTCCAC